ACTACCCCTCTTCAATTTTTCTCTTTTTATTGAGTAAATGGCCATTTATGTAATGGCATTTATGTTGTTGGGCGTTTTGCATAAACAGCCATTCTGAAGAGACCCAACTTTGGCTATAAATACAACACTATTCTGCTCAGAATTTTAACTACAATTTTCTGAGTTTCCTCTCCTTCTTCTGCATACTTTTAGCATCAAAACAAAGCAAAAAGTAAGTTGATTTGCTACCAAACTTTGTGTTCGCTGAAATACTGGGGTTTGAAGTACCACTACACCAGTGTGTAATTCGTTCTATCCTGGGAGGAAATAATCCATAACCTTGGGTACTAGGAGGGGATTAAATTCCTTAAGGAAACACTGTGAATTCAGTGGGCTCGAATTGGTTTATGTCATTTCTGTTTATATTCATTACTGTTTATATTCATTTATATTTCCATAATTTATTTTACAAATACAGTTGTAATAACAAGCTTAAGGAATTTAATAATTTATTTTCTGTATTTGTACTTACTGTTTCTGGAAGAGTAAAACCTTTGTGGTTTTGTACTCTATTAAAATCTACGTGATTTTAACGTTTGTGTCATTCTTTTACAGAAATGACTAATGGAAATGAGAACCAAGCGGTTCCAATGGTGACTGCCAATGCGTCAACAAGCCGAACGACACCGGCAGCATTGGCACCGGCGGAGAAAAACCCGGAAAATTTTCCGGGATTGATTTCAAGCGCTGGCAGCAAAAAGATTTCTTCTATCTGACCACTCTAAGTCTCCAGAAGTTCATCAAGGAAGATGTTCCTGTGCTGTCCGATGAAACTCCAGAAACTGAACGCTTTCTCATAATTGAGGCATGGAAGCATTCAGATTTTTTGTGCAAGAATTATATTCTAAGCGGGCTGGAGGATGCTTTGTATAACGTCTACAGTGGCGTGGAAACATCAAAGGAACTGTGGACTGCGCTTGAAAAGAAATACAAAATCGAAGATGCCGGGTTGAAAAAGTTTGTTGCTGCAAAGTTTTTGGACTACAAAATGGTAGATAGCAAGTCTGTTATTACCCAAGTCCAGGATTGCAAGTGATTATTCACGATCTCCTTGCTGAAGGTAATACTCAATTTAATATTGATGTTGAAAGTAGTAATCTTAGTATTTTTACTAATAGAAATTTCATTAAAGGTCTTGTATCAATGAAGCATTTCAAGTAGCAGCGATGATGAGAAGTTGCCTCATTTGTGGAAGGACTTCAAAAACTACTTGAAAACAAAACGCAAGGAGATGTCCCTTGAAGATCTCATTGTTCGGTTGAGAATCGAAGAGGACAACAAAGCTGCGGAAAGAGAGGCCGTGGAAATTCAACAATAATGGGAGCAAATATTATTGAAGAGAACAAAAAGAGAAAGAAGCTTCTGGACCGAAATACAACCCAAGCAAGAAGCGGTTCAGTGGAAACTGCTACAACTGTGGGAAAACTGGACACAAATCTACGGAGTGTCGTGCTCCGAAGAAGACAAGAAAAGGGGTCAAGCAAACATGGTGAAAAGCATGATGATGTTGATGATTTATGTGCCATGCTTTCCGAATGCAACTTGGTGGGCAATCCTAAAGAGTGTGGATTGATTCTGGAGCCACTCGCCATGTTTGTGCTGTTAGAGAAGCTTTTGCTTCTTATGCTCCGTTGGACCCGATGAGACGATTTCTCTATGGGAAATGCTTCAAAGGCGAAGATTAAAGGATATGGGAAATATTTTCTCAGAATGACTTCCGGCAAAGTGGTGACTTTTGAACAACGTCCTTCATGTTCCCGAGATTAGGAAGAATTTAGTCTCTACTGGACTTCTTGTTAAGAATGGGTTTAAATGTTATTTTTGTTCCGATAAGGTTTGTAATAAGTAAGAATGAGATGTTTGTAGAAAGGTTACCTCACTGAGGGCCTTTTCAAGCTGAATGTAATGGTTGTTAAAAAATAATAATAAATTTCAGCTTCGTCTTAACTTACTGAGTCAAATGAATTATGGCATGTACGTTTGGGTCATGTCAATTATAAAACCTTACGGAAAATGATTAATTTGAAAGTATTGCCCAAGTTTGAATGTGACAAATCAAATGTCAAGTATGTGTGGAATCTAAGTATGTTAAACATCCTTATAAGTCGGTTGAAAGGAATTCAAATCTTTAGACTTAATTCACACAGATATTTGTGACATGAAGTTCAATACCATCTCGCGGTGGAAAAAATTATTTCATAACTTTTATTGACGATAGTACTCGATATTGCTATGTTTACTTACTTAATTATAAAGATGAAGCAATAGACGCATTCAAGCAATACAAAAATGAAGTTGAAACGCACTTAATAAGAAAATCAAAAATGATAAGAAGTGATAGGGTGGTGAATATGAATCTCCTTTTGAACAAATATGTTTAGAATATGGAATTATTCATCAAACAACGGCCCCTTACACGCCCCAATCCAATGGGATTGCAGAAAAGAAAGAATCGTTCATTAAAGGAGATGATGAACGCATTATTGATAAGTTCTGGTTTGCCACAGAACTTGGGGGGAAGCCATTCTTACGCTAGCCGAATACTAAATCGATTACCCATAGCAAAACACAATCCATTCCATATGAAAAATGGAAGGAAGGAAGCCCAACTTGAATTATTTTAAAGTGTGCGGGTGTTTGCAAAAGTGCAAGTTCCTAAACCCAAAAGGGTAAAAATAGGACCGAAAACCGTTGATTGTGTTTTCATAGGATATGCAAACTAATAGTAAAGCATATCGATTTTCTGGTTCATAAACAGAAAATCCCGACATTCATAATAATACGGTTATAGAATCAGATAATGCTGAGTTCTTTGAAATATAATCCGTATAAAAAGGAATGTGAGTCGATTGGTGAAAGATCTAAACGACCTCGGGAAGAAACAAAAAAGTACACTTAACCAAGAAGATCCAAGACGTAGTAAACGTCAAAGAACGTCTACTTCATTTGGACCAGATTTTGTGACTTTCTTATTGGAAAATGAGCCTCAAAACATTTAAAGAAGCTATGTCTTCTTCGGAATCATTGTTATGGAAAAGAGGCGGTCAATAGTGAAATAGAATCCATACTAAACAACCATACATGGAATTGGTTGATCTTCCTTCCTGGAAACAAACCGTTGGGATCTAAATGGATCTTTAAGAGGAAAAATAAAAGATGATGGTCACTATTGACAAGTATAAGGCAAGACTTGTGGTCAAAGGGTAATAGACAACAGAAAGGTTCTTGACTACTTTGATACATACTCTCCAGTTATAAAGAATTACATCCATACGAACGTTAGTGTAGTTACTTTTCTGTTACCAAAACAGTTACCTAAAACAGAAAAACGGATTGGATTTAATATTAATATTTTGTTATTAAAACAAATATTTAATAACATTTCTGTTAATATTTTACTATTAACAAATAAATTTGGTCCAAAAAGTTAATCAATCAATTCCGAAGCCGTAGCCGAAGCCGTAGCCGAAGCCGAAGCCGAAGCCGAGCGAGCGACGACGACGGCGCGAGGCTTGCCTTCTTCTCAACTCTTTAAGAGCTAGAAGAAGAGCAATTGCTTATATACCCATAAAAAACCTCTTCCTCTTCCAATATGGGACAATGCCCATTTGCCAAGGGAGGGGGAACTTAAAATTTCACTCAAAAATTTCATTTCCCTCCATTTCCCATTCACCCTCTTTTAAGTATTTAATATATTAATTAAATACCTTAAAAACCCAACATATTACTGATATGATGCCCATAAAATTTGAAAAATGTATATCTTCAAGTGAAGCAACCCGTCAAGAGTAAGAAGAACAAGAAAACACACTTAAGAATTCGTCCATGTAACCAAAAGGTGTTCATATAACATGTAATTAAAATGCCGCTACAGGGAATCTTACGCTTTGAGTATATGAATGAAGAAAATAAGCGTTGAAGCTCGGACATGCCACGTTTCATATCGTTTTCAGTGAGATCCACTCTTCCAACTGCTCAACTCTTTCACATTCTTCTCAGCTTTACTAAACTTAGCCTGAAAAGTTGAATTATTACCTTAATCAAATTGAATAGGAAAAATAGCAATGTTTACTATGGTATGATTGACAGCCCAAGAAGTAATTACAATAGCAATGAAGTAAAGAAAGACATTAAGGATCAAAAGCATATATGCTGCTGATTTTCCTCCTGTCCTGAAGCCATGGCTTAATAAGTTTAGTTTTCACAGAAGCAAAAAAAGAGAGATTTTATTGCCAGTATTCACTTTCCAGCCAAGTTCCAATATAACCATATTTTCCAGCTGAGAATAACCGAGCAATCCACACTTAAGTGAATATGTGAGTTCATAGATTAAAGATAAATGATTTAATTGAAAAAAAGTAAGCAGAAGTAGAGTCAATATCCACAACTCCAATATCATCTTCAAACGTACGTAATATTACAGACACATCCTTCTTACTTTTAATAAGTTTGATATCATATGATACAAATGAGACCACCACTTTGTGGAGTTGCTGATATATTTTTGTGAATTTTGTTCATAAAGAAGGGAATAAAACTTTATTATACCAAAATAAAAGAATAAACATATAATGCAACATGAAAACATGAAAAAACTAAAAATCAAATGTACAAGGATATAGAAATGCATGTCTTCATGTGAACAACCATACATAAATTGTTAGTAAACTATTTCTGTTTTGTTCTTTTTGGTATCAATTGTCAATGTGTTAGAGCGAATGAGAACGTACCTGATGAAATCTTCTACTACAGATTAGTCCAAAAACATCAAGATCTTTGATTTCTCTGTGCATATACACTTACCGGCTTCATAACTAATTCAAATATTTTTAGCAGATTACCTCTTCAGTCTGGAGACGGCCCAGTGTTAGACGAAATAGAAATCTTCTAGATCCTGCAGGAAGATGTCGTTTAGCTCAGCACAGAGGATAGCTTGATATTAGTTACCAAACAATGTATCATTATTTTAACTAATGAAACTCAGGAAAAAGCATCTTTAGAGAAAAATAAAACAAAACAAAAGATTTAGAAATGCACATACTTGTCTTTGGATTCTAGATTGATCTCTTGATTCCTCAAAATTTGCAACTCCTAATAACAAGAATCCATCTCGCTAGATGGTAAATCAAATATTATGTAAAGGGAAACTCATTTAAAGAAATTAGGTGTTATTTCAAGGGCAAACTCATTTAAAGAAATTAGGCTTAAATCCTCCAACATTCACCTCTTTAAGGACATGATCATCAAATTGTTTTAACAAGAGATAATTTAGTTAAAGGAGATGACCAAGTTTTGGGTAGTGTCGATGCTGCAAGAGAATTTTATGACTTTAAACTAAACTGAGATCCTTCATAGAAAATAGTAGATCAATTAATGCAACTTTAAACAACAGACAACCACCATTCTCTGGAGCTGCGAGAGAGCTAGACACCAAGAGGAGAATGGCAGCAGATTTACCCAAGAAAGCATCATAGGCACCCTGCTTTACTTAGATCTCTATCTCATCTTTCTGAGCTTTCTCTTCAGCTTCCTCATACGCTTCTTCTTCCACTGCATTTAAAAAAGAAACATTGGAGGCTGCCGCAGTTACAGTGATAAAAGAGAACAAAAATCTTAGCAAACTCCCTTTTGGTACACTTAATTGTTATCTGAAGAGCCTTAAAGCCTGCAACAAAAAATGTAGTTCCAGAAGAGACTTACAAGAAAAGTGACCTGGATTATTGTAACTGTCTACTTTGCTAAATTTCTTAAGGCATTTGAGAGCAATTTTTCATGTAAAGGACCATGATGGCAAGCAATTTTTCATGTAAAGGACCATGATGGCAAAACAAGGGCATCCCATTTAGCTCTTTACCAACATTACATGGACAACACCAATGGTGCACTATAACTTCAAATCATTTGTGGTTTAAAACATGTAAAATAGCATAGCAAAAATTCCATAGTAGAATAAAGCATCCAAAGTAGGATTAAAAGCATCAAGCATCTGTCATAACTCATATTTTTCCTTGAGCTTGGAGGAATTTTTCAACAGGGAAATTGAGCGCGTAAGCATACAATTGAGGAATCACCCATATCGAATACTTTCTAGCAAGTTCTGAAATACTTGTATTCTAGTGTAATAACATCAGTAAAGGTGACGTGAACATGTAAAATGGTGTCAGCATTAAGGATGTTACAAAAGTAAGGACACATGATCATTTCATGTAGATTCCAAGCATATCATATTTTCCAGCTCCAACAACATAAACGAGTAACATCTAGAGAAACTGTAATATCTACTGTATAAAATTAGGAAGGAATTTATAAAATCAGCATTAGGAAGGAATTTATAAAATCAGCAGGAAACAAAATCAGCAATAAAAAGGAATCTGTATTTACAAAATCAGCAGGTAAAAACACAACTAAAAACACATGACTACAGAATAAATTAAACACAGAACCCAAAAGACTACAGCATGAATTAAGAACCTTTTTTCCAAGAACTAAAAAAACACAGTAAAAATGTATAGCTATGGTAACAAAAACAGTAAAAATGACCAAAAAAAGAGAGAAAATTACCAGGCTATAGTGATTTTGGACTTCTCTGATTCGAGCACAAATCTGATTTTTGAATTTGGGGATTTGGGGAAGGCTAGCAACTGTCCTTGAAGAAGTGCCGGAGAAGTGCCGGAAAATGGTGAACGGCGACCACGCTTTGGGCTTTGGAACTTTAGGGTTTGATGATTATGGTGGTCTAATGAAGAGGTATTTGCATAGATATAGAGAGAGTGAAACTCGGCCAAGAGAGGATTTAGTAAATCTGAAACTCGACCATTAATCTGAAACTCGGCAAAGATGCAAAAAGAAAAGAGATCAGAGAGGGGAGTTTGGATGTATGATGAGGGAGTTTGGATGTATCGATTAGGGGGATACACTGGAGATAAACCGGAGTGGAGGGGTTTATTGTATTTACCTTATTAAAATTAATTAAAAAATATAAAATGATAGGTCACTTGGCGGGCCAAGAAATTTTCAGCAGACAAATCGAGGCGGGAATGAACAACCGTTCCAATAGGAATTTGTTTCCCAAAGCCGTTCCCATATACATGTCTATTGGGACGGTTTACAAATCCGTTGCAAAAAAAATATCTATGGCAACGGTTTTATTACAATTGCAACGGTTTGATGTCTAAAGTGTACTGATACAACCCAAATTCTATTATAACGGTTGCAACCGTTACTATATCTACTCTATAGCAACAGTTTGTGAACCGTTGCCAAAATAACTGTTCCCATAGGCCCATTTTTTGGTAGTGTTTGGATGGTCATCGAACTCCGTGTACATATTTGATTCCCAAGGCCCGCATATCACCTTTATTGTTCCTGAAATCATAGAGAAGGGCTCACATCATGGGATGAGCCAGGCCGTAATTCTCACGGCGCACGCCCGTCACTTGACATGCGCGTCACCTCAATACTAATCATATACCACATAGTTCGGGGTTTCAAACCCCCAGAACCAAGTTTGGAAGCGTTACTTACCTCAAGCCAAGCCATAATCCTACTCCGCGATGCCCTTGCCTCTGGAATCGACCTCCAAACGCCTCAGTCCTAATCCAAAAAAGTAAGAAATTAGATATCTTTGAAAAAAGCAAACATTAACTGATAAAGTTCCATAGCAAGAATTTGGAAAGTAGCATTAGAGGGAGGCAAAACGATACCATACCCAAGTATCAAGTTGTGCCCCTTTAGAGATGAGGATAAAGGTAAGGATTTAGCATATTTTATATATCTAGATATATTGAGGGAGCTAGTATTTTCTCAACAGCCAAATACATACCACCTCAGTCATGAGACTCCTTTAAGCCTTTCTTTAAACCTTTCTTTGATGAATAATCAGTCTCTACCAAATTCAGCAAATGAGAACATTTTCAGATTTTATGAAACATTGGAGAAGATATAATTAGACATAAAGTCTCCTCCATGTAACATTAATGGCTATTTCGTATTATTCTGTCGACAAGAGCACCACATGCTTGAAATGCACTGAAACCTAGATTAAATATTCAGGTGATATGTTCTCCCTCAAAATTTTGGTTTGTACTGTACTTTTTTATAAGTTCATCAAATTTGTAACACATTATATTCAATATGCAAAGATGTACACACAAGGAAAATAACTAAGTTATACCAAGTCAAAGTTACCAGTACACTCCACAGTAAACATGCTAAATTAACCATATTTTTTTGTTCCTCAATCATAGTAGATAAACACACAAAACATGAAATATCTCGTGATATAGATTTATTCTGATGTATTTCACAAAAAAAACTTAATAGCAACAGGTGGGCGCCTCTGTTATTTCAATTGTACGCTATTACAACTCGGACGCCATTGAGTTTTTCTTAGTTCAATGTATTAGCTACTCTTAGTTTTGACAGCGATGGTTTTTTTATCTTGCAGTTCTTGTTATTGTGGTCATTTAACCCATAAGGTGAGGTGATAGTACAGTAATTTTAATCCTTCAAAGAGCATGACTTTGCCTTTTATTAGCAGCATGTTTTTGAATGAAGTTGGGGGACCTCTCTCCTCTGTTGATTTTCAACAAAGATTTGGTTTGATACTTTTGATACCCCTAACCTTTGTTTAGTAGTAACTTCTATTAGTTTATTGATCTTAATCCTTTTAAAAACAAAATGAAGGAGAAATAAAAGGGAGCCTGCAAAATAACCAATAAGTTTGGAGTAACCTCCTTTATCTAATTGTGGTTTATATTGTAGCGCCGTCATCTGTATACAATCTTTCAACATCTCCCAAGGGAAGGTTAACAAGGATCGACAACTGCTTAGACTATATAATTTTGATGTACTCTGATTTTCTTTTTTGTAGCATAGGGAAGATCTCTCACTGCCTATCTCCCTTTTGTAAAAAAATTTGATGACCTACGTATGTATTTGTTGGAGCATGTTCCACCTTTATAGGAACAGAGAGTTTGGGATGCCAACTCTTCTGCATTTTGTATTCCTTTTTTATATTGAATTAAAACAGGGAGGAAGAGAAAATATATATGTTACACCTGTATCACCAAACAAAGCAAAAGATAAGAAGCTAATAGATTAGTGGTGCTGCTACAACACATGGCTTAAATGGAAGTAAAACTGCATGATTAACATAAGCTATTGTCCATTAAAACAATAAACAATTTAATATGGACACTGAGAAGATGTAAATGGATCAATCCACAAGGCCATTAACTCCTGTACAAATTTCTCTTCGGGATTTAGGATGATTAGATGAAAAGACAGAAGCTCAGCCCTTTGCCTTTGAGACGGTTCCACCATATAGAATCAACATCAAACCAGAGACAGCTATAGTATTTCTTCAAACACAGAATTTGCATTGATCTTTTTATTTACTGAAAACCAACGATGCATATAATATCCTTGAGACATAGGCACTAACAATAACACCAGGGTTTATCAAATGCTAATGTTTAAGTCTTGGAATTCATGGTGCTTAATAGTAGTTTCCGTGAGACAATTGTTTGCTTTAAATGGAAGTAGAAGTAGGAGAAGAATAAGATCACCTTGGGAGATATTAGTCTATTGTATCTTACAGGAAAAGAGATCTAAAAACTCACCGAGCTACAATGCCATGATCAGTTTTTTCTGCAGATCCCAAATTGACTGCAACAGCTTATCAATGGAAGAATTGATTAAGTAGATGGTATCTGTCACGACCCATTTTCTGAACAAGCCGGGACCGGCACCCGATCACTAAATATGACCAAGAGAACCATTTGCGCTTATCAAATCTATTATAACTTCAAATTTTATATGCCACAAGGCACTACTGCAACCAAATACCTTTAAATAATGTAAATGTCTAAAACAAGCCAACTTCAAAACTTTATCTGTAGTAACCAATGAAATACTGCTGAGTTATTATAAAAAAACATCTGAATCTTAACCTACCGACTGTGTCTATGAAGCCTCTACTGATAAACTGACGCACTGCTCAGGACATGAGATTTCCTAGCCAGTTCTCTAAGTAAACAAAGAAATAGCTAAATAAAAATGACTCTAAGGAATACTCCACGAACGAAAGCGGAGCTCACCAGTAGCACTGGAAGAGAAGGAAGTCCTAACTTGTAGCTTGCTCGCCATGCAAAATCGGTTCCTACGTTGTACCGCAGACCAACGTAGGTTCCCAAAAGAGAACGTTAGTACCATCCATTGTGCTCAGTGAGTCTCAACGACAAGGGACAAAACTTTAATAACATATACATTACGAGCAAAGATCCTAAATGCATGTAAAACATAAAGCTTATAAGAACAATTCTAAAATAATTGCATAATAGCAGTTTATGAATATTCTTAAAAAAATTCTATTCTTCTTATTTCTTACAAAAAAAATACTTCACTTTATACTTTGGGAGTTCCAACTATCATGACATATTTCTTTCTCAGTCACCGTGTGATCGGCACGGGTTCGATCCCAACCTGATCGAATAGGCCCAATCCACGAGGTGCCACTCGCTTCATGGTTCTCAGCGCTCATGTATCATACCTTAGCATGGCTAAGTAATTTCTCAGCAACGAGAACCTCGGCTCCTGTGCTCCCTACTTTGGCACAAGTAGTTTTAGGAAGTCAACGCCTTGGTCAGTACCGGCCTGGACGATGACCCCTTTTCAGAATAAAGGATACTCCATCTTTTCTTTCTACTTCTTCTTGTGACTTTTCAAGTTCAAAGCTTTTCTTTTTGGAACATCATGCACATGCTCATGCTGGTATCCTTAAATTTAAAGCATAGCATAAGAATTAGATAAACATCTAAAAGTATTTCTAAAGATTCTTGTTTCTTCATAAATTTTCAACATGAAAATAGCATATGAGAATAACACAAAAATCTGAAAATTTATGCACGGATATCATAATATATTAACTCACTCGCTCCAATTAAGTAAATATAAACTCTTTTAAGCAATTCATCAAACACTGCTTTTGTGAGTTAAACCACTTTAGTAAAGGTTACATCAACTCACCTCAAAACATCTCGAGCCAATACGTAGACCCCCAATCCAATTTATACCCGTCAAATAATTGATTCTACAACAACCAGTGCATTTTAATTAATTTTAAAGTTTCACACCTAAACATCGAATTTACTGTTGTTATAGAGGAAGAAGGGAATTAACTTTTCAATTTTACCAGTTACTGCAGTAGGATAATTGACAAATAGAGAATTTTATATATATGAGTTCAGGAATAAATGGGTTGTGAAGAACTCTATAATTTTTTGTGAAATTTCTGCTGCCTCTCGTAATTCCGTGCGTCTGTTTCTCTGTTTTCTGATCTCTAATTTTTTGTTCCCTTCAAACCTTTTAACTTGAGTCACGTGACTCTTTTTTTTTTTTTTTTTTTTTTTTTTTTTTTTTTTTTGGCTTTAAGCCTTTGTTACANGACTCTCTTTTGCTTAATTGTTTTTTTTTTTTTGTATAAGGCTTTAAGCCTTTGTTTACAACAGCCCTTTTATGGGCTTTAGGGTAATTTTTTTTGAAATTTTTTCCTTCCTATACCATATATGAAACCTTATTACCAAAAATGTGCATAGTTTCATATTTACCGGCAATGTTCACAGTTTTTCTACAATTATTATACCATTCATTAAATACTAATTATTAGGAGTTGATTCCTTCCTAATTAGGCGCGCTACAAATCAGGAACAGAATATTCTAATTGATTTAGCGACCTTCAAATCAAATTTGAAACGCAAATCCTATATCTTCAATT